TATAGTATGATATACCTCCAAACCCTATTCGAATTCTTCGGGCGCCTCCAGTACTTCTTCAGGCCTGTAAGGTGCATGAAGCGCCTCGAGAAGAACCGGGCGTATCATCCCAAGCTGAGAATCCGGACTCTTACTTGCAGATATCAGCAGCAGCAACAAAACAGAGTATCGAGAAATGACGGAACCCACCCTCAAGAGTGGTGTCGCTAACTAAACCCTAAACCCTATACCCTAATCCAGGCCTTATGGCGCAGATGATTTCTCATCGGATTTTGCTGGAATGGGTGGCAGCTCTTAGAGGCGTGGGTTTAGGGTTGAAGGGTTTAGGGTTTATTTGCGCATATCCTAGTCTGCTTGCCCATGTAAACCGAAAGCGCTAGACCGAACTCCAATCCTAAGCCACGGGCCGTAAACCCCACACCCTAGACCCTAGACCCTAAACCCTAAACCCTAAACCCAAGCCCTCGAAGCTTAAACCCCAACCCAAACCCTCAAAGCGTAAACCCCAAGTCGCCAAAACCCTCAAACCCTGAACCCCAAAACAACCCAAGCTCTGAAGCCCTACTAAAACCATAAGCCCAAAAATCACACACACACACACACCAAACCCTAAACCGAAAAAACCACCAAACCAAAACCTAAAAGCCCTCAAACCCAAAAGCTCTCTACTGGAAGCTTCGTAACCCGAGCTGGACCTTAACCCCTACATACAAGAAACCAAACGCCTGCAAAGCCGAAGCCTTACATCTTAACATCCCCAAAACCTGAAGCACAACAAGCACTGAAAGCCCCGAAAGCCCTAAATCTCACCCTGAACCCAAAAGCACAGCATGCTAACACCGATCTGCTTCAGGTGGACTGTTCAGTTTCGGCGGTGTGACATTTACAGAATGATGTTAACCTTATATCTTCAGCCCTGAATGGCTTTGTCCTTTCGAAAAGTTGCCGCTGCTTGCAGTGCAACTTCCATTCATGAAGTCCATGACTGCAAAGACAGGTGGTCTCGTCGCAGCGAGGAAGTAATCATCGTAGAGCGAGAGCAAACCGCGGAAGCCAAGTTCCTATAGATGCTTAGATAGTAGGATCCTGTCCCTACACCCTAGTATGGTAGCATCTACAATGTACGTCGGCCTTTCCGTTTCCGACCCGGAAGGTGGCGAGAAGACGTCTATGGTGGATGCCCTCTTGTCACTCCCAGGACGGCTGTTGCGAGCCTTTAGAGGCTCCTTCCCAATGTCCACGGTTGGTACCCTAAGTATCCTCTAGCCAGGCTGCCGGGGGGATCTAGAAAGTAGAACCCCTATTTTGGGACCCTATACTTCTACGGGCTCTTTAGTATAGGAACCCCCCATTAAGGGATCTACTTTTTGGATTCTCCCGAGATTTTCTGGGTAGCCAGCAACACGATCATGAGGGCGTGTATAAATTGAGGGTACAAGTATCCCGAGAGAGTTCGAGTTGGTGTTAAAAGGCACTCACTCAGAGTCAAGCCCTCAGCCCTAAACCCTCGCCTGTGGGGTCCAAGCCAAAACCGAAACCCAAAGCCAAACGACTCGACTGCGTTCCCTGCAGGATTCGGCCTCCTCTCCATATTGCTGGCTTACGTGATGACGGTCCTCATCGGCATTCCGGGGACATGGCTTCTAGGCAACTTCGAGCCACATCAGAAGACGAAAACTTGTCCATGCTTCATAAGAGCCGAACCCTAAACCCTACATAGTAAAGATGAAGGCTTTGGCCAGAGGTCGGTGGTCTAGGTTTTGAGATTCAGGCTTCAATCCAGAAGGACCGCGACTCTTGAACTCTACTCATCTACTCTTATAAACCCAACCATACAGGGGCTTCATACTCAAAATAAGGGTTTAAGTTTTGGGGTATAACCCTCTCAATCCAAAGGGCGCAGAAAACGAGATCATTGCAGAATGTGCACAAGTTTCAAGACCTGACCCGGTTAGTGGCCATGCGTTCACAAAAAACACAGACATTCCACAGACCCTCAAAATCCATGCTTCCATAATATATATATATATATATATATAATATATGTATATATATATATTAAATAGTTAATATATGTATATATATATATAAATATTATATATATATATATATACACACATATATATATATATATATGAATATCTGGCCTAGCTGGCACTCGTAGCCAGGAGCTTGCGGGGCTGTGATTTTGTTCTAAGGGAGAGCTCTTGGACTTTGGGTTCAGGGTTCAGGGTTCAGGGTTTAGGCCTTTAGGGAGTTTTAGGGTTTTAGGGTTTTAGGGTGTTAGGGTTCAGGGTTTAGGGCTTTCGGTTCGCAGATGGCAGCATCGCTGTTTGACTTTGGGGTCGAGGGCTCTTGGACTCTGGGGTTCAGGGTTTAGGGTTTTTAGGGTTTTAGGGTTTAGGGTTTAAGGCTTTCGTTTGCAGATATCTGGCAGCTTCGCCCTTTCACTTTGGGGTTGAGGGCTCTTTGACTTTGGGGTTCAAGCTTGAACCTAGGTTTAGGGTTTAGGGGTTTAGGGTTTTAAGCTTTTAGGGTTTAGGGTTTAGTGCACAGGGCTTTCGCAGATGGCAGCTTCAGGCATCAGGGCATAGCTCTAGGCTGCCCGTAGGCTCCGTTCGTTTGGGGTTTGGGTCGAGGCTTCGGCTTTTGGGTGTCTCCTGCTAAACCCACAACCCCGAACCCCAACGCTCAAAAACCCTGAAGCTTAAAATTCGGGGCCGGGTCTTGTTGAAGGCTTGGAGCGGGTCAGAGCTGGGGCAGGGTACTTGTTCCAGGGTTCCGGGACGAGCTCACATCTTCGGCTGCAGCTGCAGCTGCTTTGAAATCGTAGGTGACATAGCTAGCTTCGAATCCAACTTAAGGAAAGCCACCTCTGAAGCTGAAGAAGCTGAAGTAAGCCACCCCAGCGATCCGTACATGTTTTGCTCCTCCTCGTCCGTGCTTCGCGAAGATGCTCTGCCAGGATCCCAGAATCTTGAGCATTAGTTCTAAGTCTAGCTGTGCTAAGGTGTACCTAGGCTGTCCCGGGCCGTATTTATATATAAGCTTTAAACGCTCAATATTCTGGAAATCCTAACACAGCACCTTGAGTCTCAAGAGATACCTCGTGAGACATCGGAACTCGAGGAGCTCCTTCGGCACCGCCTGAACCAAGCCCTTCCAGAAGCCGATAAAGTCTTCATCCACAAATGAGTGGAAGAAGCGGCAGTTGAGTCGGGTTCGGACTTGGTCCTCGGCAAGGTGCTTAAAAATGTGGTGCTTGGGCACCACTTTCCATCGAGGCACCTGCCTCTGAATCGAGAGCAGTGCCAGAATCTCGCACAGCGATAGGAACGTCGAGCAGGCCTTCGCCATGTCCAGTGCCTGATCTCCAGTCAGGTAGCGCGGCGCCCGTTCCATTGCATCGAGAAAAGCGACGATAGCATTCGTGACCCCAAAGGCCAATCGCAGCTCCTTAACCAGTAAGGGATCCATGCCATCTGAGTTTCTCTCTGCATCCTGCTGTGCTCGATTCAAGACGACGTGAAAAAAAGCCGTCATCAGTCTTGTGTTCCAAGCTTTCAAGTCCAGTCGCGGATAAGCTCCGCCTTCCCAGGTCAGCTGCCCTGCAGTCATCGTTGCTTGGGAGTGCCTTCAGGGTATCATATATCCACATAATTAGGGTCGGCCCGGGATTAGGCCTAGGGTCTGCTTACGTTGAGAGTCTCAGAAAACCGACTTAGTTGTTAACCTTTCCGGGGTTAGAGCTTGGGCTCCAGAGCCGTCTAATTCAGGTTCTTTCACCTAATTATGTTAAACCCGACAACCAGAACCACTCAAGCTGCTGAGCCCCACAAACAAATTTGTTGATCGTGGCCCTGACAAACCCTAAACCCTAAACCCTAAACCCTAAACCCTACACCGTGAAGTCTCAGATCTTGGTTTGGCACAACAGCACGAAATTGCAAAGCTATAGCTTTATAGCTATAACTTAGAAACCCACGTATGCTATGGTGCATCGAAGTGTCTGAAGGCCATTCACCGAAGCCCACGACTTGAAGCGGTTACACAAAGTAATCATCTTGTCGGCCTGCCCAAGCCAGCCTCGCTGTAGTTGTCTGCACAGATAACACTGTAGTGCCTAAACCCTAAGCCCTTAAGAGCCCTTAAGATGTATATAAGCAATATACACCAAGCAGCCGATCTCATCCAGCAGAGTAAAGACGGACCCATTCAAGAGTTGCAATATTCCCAGATGCACTGAGTGCATGGCGCAAATCTTCATGAAGTCCGGTCGGAAGCCAGCGACCGTGATCAGAGGGTTCGCCGGCCGTCTCAGGGGGCCAACTAACTATGCTCGATAATTAATGTCGTCATCTACCCATAACAGTGTGAAGGCACTACCTCTACTAGCCCTATAGTTAAGCATAAAAACTGAATTTCAGTGTGCCTCATTCCATTCAGAACTATGTCTGTTTGCTCTCGTCGCGGGAACGACTTGTCCAGTGACGACCTCCACCTATCGTACATCCTATATAGGTGTAGGCTATAGCGTGTTCTGGGATTTAAGATTTAGGATCGAGGGTTCATAGGATTTTGGAGTGAGGATTTAGGGTTTAGAGTTGAAGTTTTAGGGCTAGCTGAAATTTAGCTTCTTGCAAGATCCAACTGAAAATCCTGCTAATTATAGCCAGGTTTCGAGTTGGGGCCACGGGATTGGGCAGTGCACATGTGGCACACCGCCACAGACTGCCAGCCGGGTTTAAGTCGCATAAATTCTTTATGCCACTTCCAATCCCCTCTCATCTCCAGCATGAAGTGCTTGCCACCTGGAAGGGTCAGACTTAGAAGCCTTCACTACCACTTAGGTCCGAGGATGTCCTACATTTGGTCGTTGGTGAAGGCCTTGGATGGGGCTGCCTGCAGCATACTTGCCACGGTAAGGTTTCCCAAAAAAGTCGGTGGAGGGATGAACTCCTGTAGCCAGCTGGTTCAGCGACCAAGTGATGACTTCCAGGGCAGGGTGCAGTGATTCCCAACCCAGGGATATAAACTCTCGCAGATTCAGCAGCGGGTATCGCTGTTGATAAGTTCCTAGTCGTGATGACCAGCAGGTAAGCATCTATGGTAGACTTATGTATAACCACAAAAAATAAGTTTAGGGTTTAGGGTTTAGGGTTCAGGGTTCAGGGTTTAGGGTTTAGGGTTTAGGGATGTTTGCGCCCAAGTTTCGGTCAGCATCCCGGGCCAAAATAAAGTTCCGTGTCAGTAGTATAACCTTATCTCCAGGCTTGTTGTAGCGCCCGTCATCTCCATGAAGTCCCAGCGGCATACAGCCTCTGCCAGGGTGCACAGTGGCCCATGGCTGGTGGGCTTCCAGATGAGCCCAATACTCATCCACAGCCTCCTGAGAAATCTTCACTTTCCCAGACTCCTTAGGTTGCAATTGCAATTGCGATGCTATATATGCACAGCTGTGAAAAAAAACAACATAGGCCCAATGCTGCAAGCTATACAGCAGCTAAGCTTCGTGAAGATAATGGACTAGTTCATGCGGATAAACGATCGGCAGCTGCATCGTCGTATGGTCTCGCCGGTTCAATGCTGCCAGAACAGGGATCTCCACATAATGCAGTCCCTGATTTTAGGGTTCAGGCTTAAGGCCCTAGACCCTAAACTTACCCTAAACCCCAAATCCCAAGGGTTGCTAAGATCAAGCCAAGAATCCACAGGGAGTTCCAACCCTCTCATTATATCACGTTCCTCAGCTGCTGGTTGCTAGTGGGTGTTAATATGTTTGGGGTGATGATATATGATTTTGCTGTCTAGTTAACTTAAACGATTGGAATTCAAGTACAACAGAGCTACATATATGGCTAGCCAAGATTCGACATTGCCCGGAAACTTTCCGGAGCAGCCGGCCCGAGCAAACATCCGGGTCGTATCCGAGCAGTTGTTCCTAGACTCCTTGACCATGGCAGCAGCAGCTTTTTGAAGCTCGGCAGTAGAAGTAGCCTCACTTATATCGGGTGTAGGTCACACAGTAATTAATTAACTAGTTATAAAGGACACTAATTATTCGAGGACCCTCGACCTTAACCTAAACGACCTAGCTAGGTAGTTATACTTGCAGCAGAGTGACTCCCGATCCCAGGGAAGCCAACAAGTAGTCGGCAAAGGCCGTGTTCTCATCTGCGCACAGGTGGCTTTGGTTCTACTTGGCGTGCCGAGGCCAACCGGAGCTTAGCAGTTCTGCATGCAGGATAAAATAAGTTTGAATCGTTGTTAAGAAGCTGGCACAGAAGCACCTGGGTCGAATTGGATATAGAGCCTGGTCCTACTTTAGGCTAATGTGCTCTGTAGCAGGGCTTTGGAACCTGTATTCTTCGCACATCCGAAAATTGGGCCTTGGGATGTTAATGGTTCTGGCTTTAAACAGGTTCGGGCATCCTGGGCAGAGGTTTGGATATACATGTAGGACAATTTTAGGTTTCTTGGGTCTTTTAGCACTTGGCTTCAATAAAGGGGACAGGTTTAGGGTTTAAGTTTAGGGGTTTAGGGTTTAGGGTTCGTTTTTGCGTGGAAGCGAACCCCTGCGACTCAGCAGATTAATGCAGCTGCATCCTGAGCTGCTCTATGTGCAACATGCACTCGCTACAGAGTCC